CTGGGAGTTCCATATACACTAAAAAACCAACTGCTAAAAAAATAATACCTGTAATACCTTCATCACTATCTTGTTGTGAGGATCAGATGAGCCAATGTATGCAAGATACTCTAAATGTCAGCTACTGTTATCCTGAGAAGGGAATTGTTGGAACACTGCAACACTACACCTTAGTTCTCCTTTAGAACTTGGCCATGAGATGCAGTTTAAGAAATATTTTCAAGTTTTAAGGCAAATGTCACAGCAGCCAAATACCTTGGGATTCCATATCATTGTATCTAGAGTGACGGCTAAGGGCGCAGCAGGGGCTAAATTGTTAACATGTTCCCAATGGCCCTTCAAATACTAGGGCTCAAACTCCACGGTCAGGACTAATGGATAATGTGAGCCTCCAGCCCTGGTTTCCTATGTCCTGTTGCTAGGGTAACAGACCCCAGGCAGGTGCATAGCACTCACTAGCCAGCCTGGATTCTGTAGCCCTGGCAACAAGAGGCAGGGACAACTGGGCTCAGGTTATCTGAGGTTCCTGGTATCCAAGGTTACCCTCAGCCCGGGATTTCTTGGGTAACCAAGAACCTACTGTAGCATCCATTAGGTTTTTGTTTTGTTTACCCTGAATTTACAGATTCTCTTTCTGTCTGAACTGATTGCTTCATTCCCTGCTTTCCTTCCCCCTAAAAAAGCTCCATTCTTTATATATCCCCAGGTTCCTTCTTGATTGCACCTTGAAATTTTATTAATAATGTGTATCAGATAATTTCATCTGAACACCATGCCTTTCAGAACCTGAAAGTGCAATGTTAAGATTACAGGTTCACTGACAAACTACAGAATAATTTTGTTACTGTAGCTAGTGAAATATATCATGATGTTCCATGCTGTTTAAAAGTATACATTCAGGGCAGCTAGGTGGCATAGTAGATAGAGCACTGGCCCTGGAGTCAGGAGGACCTGAGTTCAATTCCAGCCTCAGACATTTGACACTTAGTAGCTGTGTGATCCTGGTCATGTCACTTAACTTCATTACCTAGCCCCCCCCCCCCCAAAAGTATACAACAAACTTGGGTCAACTTCCGAGTATTCTGGGGGAGTGATTTTTTTTCTTTCAAATAATTTAAATTTTGCCTTTTGTAGCACCAACATGACAAAATATTTATTTACCCTTTAAAATAAAAATCCCACTTCCATGCCTCAGAACACACTCTATACACTCAGTATTTACAGTATTTCTGAGATGGGGGATTTCATTAATAGGAAAGTTCTCAACCAGTGCACATCTCAAACTTGGGATGCTTAGGCCCTGATCTTTATGACTTGTGACTGGCTGAAAAAGTCATCCCTTTGTGGCCAAATTGGTGCTGAACTGGCTTCTCCAGCTTTGCTAAACTGGTCCTTAAGTGGAAGAAATGTAATCCACCCCTAAATTTCTAGCTCAGTCTATGCTATCTCCATGTCTGTCATCTATCCCTTCTCTCCACTGATATGGCCACCACCCTAGTGCAAAGACTCATCCACTCTCACAGGGACTACTGCCAACAATCTGCTAATTGGTCATCCACATAGCTGCCAAATAGGTTTCCTAAAGCACAGGCCTGACCCTGTCACTTTCCTACTCAACATTAACCCCAGCATCTCCCTATTACCTCTAGGGTCAAATACAAAATCCTGTTTGGCATTTAAGGCCCTTTACACCTGGCCCCAGTCTATCTTTCCATTCCCACATACACCACTCCTCTTCATGCACTCCAGCCCTTTCTTGCTGTTCCTCACATGCATCTCTCTACCTTCACCTCTTCTCATCTGCAATACGCTCCCTCTCCACCGCCTCGGATGCTCATTTCCTTCAGAGCTTTCTACTCAGACGTCACCTTCAACATCAGGCCTTTTTGATCCTCTGCTTTGCTGGGGCCTCCTCCTCAGTTTACCGTGTATATTTTAGCAGACACTTCCCATATATATATTCCCTCCGTAGACTACAACTCAACAAGGGCCCTTTTCTCGTCCCTGTATCCCCAGGCCCCAGCACAGTGCCTGGCTCATAGTAGGCACTTATCGGTAGGACTTGTTGGAGTTTTCGTGAGCTCAGGGTCACCTCCAGGCTACAGTGAGACCCTGTATCAGAGTGGGGTTTCTCTGGAGACATAGAATACTACATAGAGTGTAGCTTTTTCTTAAAAAAGTCGTGGGCATGATTTTTTTTTTTGTTGTTGTTTTTTGGCTAGGCAATGGGGTTAAGTGACTTGTCCAGGGTCACACAGCTAGTAAGTGTCAAGTATCTCTGAATCTAGGGCCAGTGCTCTATCCTCTGCACCACTTAGCTGCCCCAGCCATTATGGTGAGCATGAACCAGTTCTTGTCAGGAGGCCCCGCATGGCCTCAGTGGTTACTGAGGGGGCGGGGATGTTTGCCCTTACACTAATGGGTCTCAGACAGCTGTCCCTTTCTGGTCGAGTTTTTGCACTGCTTTCTATTTCGCTGTCACTTGTCACAGTCTGCTAGCAACAGCTAGCTTATATAGTCAGTAACAGTGAGATAATGAAGTTTGGGTGGTCAGTAACGTTCACTTTCCCTAAGGAACTTGACAGTAGGTTTTGGGACAGCTCTTCTTGCTTTCTGCTGACTTCCAGGGGCCTTCTGGATGACTGAAGTCACCACCTTCTTCTCCTTTCTATCTCCCAGTAGCATTTGCTCAGTAATTATACAACTGCATTTCTTTAAATCCCTATAGCAACATACCCTAAGATGACTTTGTTGATTTGCTAAAGCCAGAAACTGTTTTGAGCAACAGACCTATTATATGGCAGGTGACTTACTCGCTAACATTCAGGTTTTGGTCAGCTCAGCTCACAGAAACATCCTTGCTGATTGGAATGGACCTTATAGTTTATCTAGCCCCACCTCCTTTTTTTACAATGAGGAAGCAGAGAGATGAAATTATTTGTCCAAGATTACTAAGGTAGTACAGAGTAGGGCTGGAATTGGAACCCAGGTCTATGCCTCAAGTCCCTAGGTGTACCCTCAAAGGGTGGAGACAGGTTAACTTTGTAGTCTCAGTAGACAAAGGTTGCTTGCAGGAAGCCGAAGGCTTGGAAGAGACTTTAACCCGCACTGAAGAAAGCACTGGCCTCTATTTATTGCAAAGAACCTTGGCTAAGAGCATTACCTAGAGTAGCCATCATGACGATGGAATGTTTTCAGCTGTCATTCTGGAAGTTTAGCCCAGGAGTGGGGAACCTGAGGCCTCAAGGCCACATGTGGCCTTCTGTGTCCTTGGGTGCAGCCTTTTGGCTGAGTCCAAATTTTACAGAAAAATCCTTTGATTAAGGGGATTTATTCTATGAAGTCTGGATTCGGTCAAAAGGCTAGCTTCACTTTAGGAGGAGCTGTGCACTAACTTATCAGCCTTCCTCACTATGGCCAATAGCCTGGTGGACTGTGACTCCTTAGGGCCCGCTTTGGAGTTTCCCAAGATCTTCCCTAACAATTCTGTCCACCTACTCTATACCTTGGATGAAGGTAGGCTTTCTCCGTGAAAAAGTTGTTGCAGTGCTATTGCCTAAGTGTTCACTAACCTCTGCTTTGAGTCACCTAAATTTATTTTAAGCCTGCTCCTGCTACATAAGAAGCAGGTGTGCCTGCATGAACTACGTAACAGAAGATCTTGGTGCAGTGAATTCTTAATTTTGATTTATTATGTTTTTTCTGAATTAGTTTATTCGTGGCAAACCTTAATTTCATGTTTTGATATTGTTACCTAATATCCAGTTCACAGAAACAAGATCTGTGTTTATCATCACCCTAGACCTGAAGAAAAGAGAGAAACCAAGGCCACTTTTTTGGTTTGGTCCTACTCAGGAAAATGATTGGTTTTTTAGGATGGCATTGCTCTCTCTGTCTCCAAACTGATACACAACGTACAAATTGAACGCAGAAGCAAGGTAGAAAACCTGGAGGTTTCCTAGTCTTCTTAAACCAAGTCATCATTAAAGTATTGTGAATTCTCAGATCAGACACACATCCATATTCAATGTTTGCAAAACAAAAATGACTTCTTCTGGATTTTCTGCCAAGTACTGTTCCTCTCAATTCCTGACAATCTGCTTTAATAAACTCCACCGTCCAATTCTGTAGCTAAACATGTTTAAGTATTACAAAGTAAAAGATCACTCATTTATAATGGAAAACGTTTTGCTATCCAAATTAGAACACCTGCTTTTGCAAGGGGCCTTGCACTTGCCACTGGGCAAGTTTGTTATTCTTTGCATATTGCAGGGTCCACTTCCATGAGAGTCACTGGTTTCCAAAGGTAGAATGCTACCAGATTGCACACTTAAAATAACTGGCATCTGGAGGGCATTTTACAATTCACTAAGTTCTTTTCACACATTACCAGTGTCTGTTTAATGACATGTCAGAACTGCACAGGATGGGCAGCCACGGACAGGTTGAGCTCTTAATCACTGGAGGGAAAGTTCACATCGATGAGATCGATCCATTTGACCTCCTAAGTCCCAGCGGCAAGTACTGTTATGTTTTGTGATTCCAATGGTTTGAACCTGACAAGTTTATTTTCTCTTCCTCCCTAACAGTGTTAAAGCTCTTATGGATCACTTACACAAGGATGAATTTTGCATGACTAAACAATGAAGATTGAATTTAAAATTTGTAAAGTTATGGGACAGTGTACTTAATGCAAAAAAAGTCACGATAAACCAGGATCTCTATCGACAGACACCTTTCTTTTACATGACTTGTTATACTGATCACATTTCTGATGTGTGAACATTATCTGTTTCATAAAACTGTAAAGTTATTTGACCCTTGTGGAATCAATATGCTATATTAATTAACTAAAGTACCATGTTTCAGGTTCAAGTTAATTCCCATTAGGAAGCATATTCATAATTTGTAAGACCATAACATCTGTAATCTAATAATTGTAACAGCACCAAAATTAATGAAAAGAAAAAACCAAAATTATACCAAACTAATGCAACCAGTAAAGAAATATTACAGCTTTTATGAAGTTATTAGAAAACATCAGGACTCCTACACATAAAGTAACTGATGTATATATATAAATTTAAAATTATCTGTGTATTAACTTTACTTCTTAGCTTGATTTTCTAATAAATCTTTAGCTTCATTGATTTTGGCTGCTATATAAGGAGATCCTCCTATAAGAAAAAAAGAAAAGGAATAGTTAAGGAGGTTGGGCAAAGCAATGTCTTACCTGACCAGAGAATAAAATACACATTTTTTCTTTTGCCACTAAATAACACTGGAACTATATCCTCACACATATCATAGACAACATGAAATATTTACTTCAAAAACTACAAATAAAATTCCTTTTAGCTAGCATTAGCAGAGAATTAGACTTTAAATAAAAGTGAACTCTCAAGATAAAAGAAAGTTTGTCCCTCTAAACATGAACACATGTACTTTAACACTTTTGTTTGTTTGTTTGTTTTTGGTTAGGCAATAGGGTTAAGTGACTTGCCCAGGGTCACACAGCTAGTTAGTGTTATGTATCTGAGGCAGGATTTGAACTCAGGTCCTCCTAAATCCAGGGTCGGTGCTCTATCCGCTGCGCCACCTAGCTGTCCCTACTTTAACACTTTTGATAGAACCTTTTCTAAAAGATTGCAAATGCTGTGGTAAATGCAACCTGGGGAACATAATTAGAGGTATTCTTGATGACTTAGTCATTATTACAAACATTAATGACTATTAGATATTGCAAACTCTGTTGTTCTAATGGACAACTACAGCTGTTTGCCTCTACGTAGAAAGATCTCCAACTCCCAGGCCTTCTGAGTACTTGTGTCTGCTTTTTATATTATTCCTCATTTCCTAACAGCCAATGCTCACTCTTCTGGGGCTCCTAATGTGCTGTGGTTTAGGAAACTAGATAACCAGTCATTAGTACTATGCTTAAAGTAATCAGCAAAAAAGCAAAGAAAGGAATCCCTTCTGAGTCTTTCCTATGGATGAGAAACCTCTTCGCTACTACTTGATTCTTAGCTGTTCTTTAAATAGCTGAGGGTGATGGAGAAGTGATGTGTCACTGCATCAGATGTCAAGAAACCCATTAACATTTCATCTGATTTAATATTCCAAGTAATATTCCTTTGGTTACTTTTAACAATTTTATATAAAAGTTACTTTTAACAGCTGAAACTTTTTCTCTCAAATCTGCTTCTTGAAAGATTACACAGTGAGATATTTTCTCGCCATCTAGAAAATACGAAACTATTTTAAAATAATTATGCATGCCTATAAGTAACTAGTCTACAAATGAGCTGTCTGGTCAGGTGTGTATTTAAATTCTCTGAAGATACTAGGGTTTCTTAGAACAAACACCAAAGTCAAATGCTCACAGTCAAGGGTCTAGGGTTGTGGTTCTAACTCTGTCCCAGATGAGCAAGAACACTAAACCATTTAGCTCCTCAGCTGCCTGACTTTAGAGAGATCCAGAGCACTAGGTGATACTTAAGGCCCCTGGAGGAGTTCATTTAACACACCTCAGTAGTACTCCCCAGGATCATTCTGATTGGCCATTTAGGAAACACTAAGAGATTGAAAGGAAGGAGTTCTTGTGTGTATCATCTCCCAAGCTGCAACCAAAGAAAGATGATATTCTAGGATAAAACTCTTCCCTGAAACAGATAGCCAAAAAACCCAGAAGGCCTGATGGGAAGTGAGGCTTCTGGACTTCTACCTGTATCTGATGGAGAGCACACAAGCACAGAGAGTTGGGTGTGGCCAAGGCCACAAAGGAGTGACTTAAAAAGTCAATGGCTCCTTTTACATGTCTTATGGCTAGGCTAAATGATGGCTAAGCAGTAAACTGACTGACTTTTCAAAACATTCAATGAAACCTCCAAATGACAGCCAGTTAACAATTTTTAAGATCTTAGTGGAGCATTTTGAATTTTAATAATCAGCCATTTTCCCAAATATTTTGGAAAAAAGGCAGCTAGGTGGCACAGTGGATAAAGTGCTAGGCCAGGAGTCAGAAAGATTTATTTTCCTGAGTTCAAATCTGGCCTCAGACACTGATCAGATGTATGACCCTGGCCAAGTCACTTTATCCTGTTTGCTTCAATTTCCTCATCTGTAAAATGAGCTGGAGAAGGAAATGACAAACCACTCCAGTATCTTTGCCAAGAAAACCCCAAATGGGGTCATGAAGAGTTGGACATGAATGAGAACACCTATTTTGAAAAAATACTGAACACATGACATTTTACCTGAAATGTGTAACTAACTTAAAGCTTTTTCCTTTGGAAAAACCACCAAGAATAGAGAGTGAATTCTGCTCTTCTATTTTGTAGTTTAATAATCACCATTAACAGTAAGGTTTACATTAAGAGTATAATGACTACTTACCCTTGTCTGGGTGGTTTAAAAGCATGATTCGTCGGTGAGCATCCCTAATTTTCCCTTTATTGGCTGTAGGGCTAATAAAGAAAAATCATTGACTTTGGGCCAAAAAAGACTTTTTAAAAAAACAACTATTGATGAATTCATGCCCATCAAGTATATGCAGAAATGACTATGATATTGAGAGTTTGTGGGTCACTGCATAGTACAAGGTTCTATATAAGCCCCATTGCTGGGATTCATTAAAATATGAGTAAAACTTCAAGTTAATCAAGCAAAGTATTCATTTGCTTAGACAAAGTCAACAAAAGGAGTCTTCTGCACATGAAAAATACAATATTATAAATATTCCCAGAAAATTGCTTAATATTTCAGTATTTGGAAATGAAAGGAAGTCTGCACAATAGAAAACTTCCTAAGAATATAACAATTGGCTAGTAACCCAAAGGAGAACTGTTTAAGATAAGTGAATTCTAAAAATAGTACATAGTTCTTTGTTGTGGTCCAGTTGTGTCCAACTAATTTCTGCTAAGACCAAGATCACCTCACTTGTTCTGGAAAAAGGGCATTTATAAGACTTTTTAAATGCCTCTGGGGAACATTTTCATTAAGACAAAGAATGAGTAATACTTAGACCTGCTCAAAATGAAAATGCTATATGCCATTACTTTAGACGAAATTCTGGTCAGAGATATCACTTTTTTTTTTTAACCTCTTAAGTAAGCTTATTTATGAAATAAGGACAATATAACTATTCAGAGGATCACCACAGATATAATCTAATTATATTTCATAAGCCTATTAACTATACTCCACTCCTTTTAGGAAGTCATATTAAAATTACTATGTTGTCATAGACCCAAGACCTTATTAAAAAAAGGCTAGGATTAAAGCCATAAAGAAGCAGATCATAGAATCAAAGATTCAGAGCTGTGAAGGACATGACAGGTAGTTTAGATGTACAAACTAAGTCCCAGTGAGGTAACACGACTGGCCAAAGACAGATTATAAATGATAGCTGGGATTTTACCAGGTCCTCTGACACCAAATCCAGCACTCTTTCTACCAAAGGTTTGGTCTGATGCTTTCAGCCCATCAATCACCATCACGACATTGTTAGTTATGGAGAATCACACCTCATACCCTCACAAAAAAGGGTTTTGTAGGTTTTAAAAAAGTTTACCACAAGATTGTACTAAATTTTATTGAAAAAATTATGTCAATAAAGGCGAATGTAGGACTTGTATGCCCTAAATTCAATGACAAAAATGATGTGAACCATGCTGCCTCCTACACTCACCTAGAACTGTTCTGTCCTAAGACTCTGGAAGCAGTGAGGCCAATAGGATGGTTCCATTCACTTCCATACACAAATACTTCCTCCCGTGCTGCCCTTCTGCAGTGACTGCAGCAGCTTTGAAAACGTACAAGGCAAGGAACCATAGGGATACAATGGTGTTGACAGCAGACGAGCCTGACTTTCCCAAGCTACCGCAGTCATGTGGAACAGACTGACATCTCCTCCCTCTCGATAGTGAAAATCCCATTTGCTCACGTACCCAGGGCACCAGCGAGACTTCAGAGCAAGCCAGTTCTAGGAGGTGCTTAACTTACCTTACTCCTAATATCAGTGCAGCTTCTCGCTTTGTCATTTTGGGTTCAAACCCACCTCTGTAATAGCTGCCACTGAAGGCCTGAAAGGGAAAAGGCATCAGTAAGAAAAATTAATGGCCTAGGGAGAGTGGAGAATGACTTTGTAGAAAACATTCAAGTGAATCTTCAAAAAAAAATTAGCAAAGAATAACATTTCAACGAAGCACCTTATTTTTGTTTCATTGAAATCGAATTTAAGAGGAATTTCTTTAAACAGTTTCACAAAGAGCATTAAATCACAGTTCAATTGGTGCTCAAGATACAAGAGAACCAATCTAAAAGGTGAGTCTCCAGTCTCAGCGCTACACTGACAGAACTAATGAACCCGTATTAGAAATGAGGTGACATCTTCAAGTAGATGCTGTCAAACTGAAATTTGTTTATTTTTGTGAGGCAATCGGGGTTAAATAACTTGCCCAGGGTCACATAGCTAGTAAAGTGTCATGTGCCTGAGGCTGGATTTGAACTCAGGTCCTCCTGACTCCAAGGCCAGAGCTCTATCCACTGTGCCACCTAGCTGCCCCCCAAACCGAAATTCAAATGGAAAACACGGACACAACCGTACAGGCATGGTTCCAGGAGGCTGGAAGAGTAACTCAAAAACACTGTTTAGGTCTTCGCTCTAGGACAATGGGGAGAAAACGTTCATTATTGCTGCAGGGAGTGTGCCACAGTCTGTGAAGCCATATTCAAGGGCTGAAAGAGGAGTGCTCCATTCAGGTCGATCACAAAAATGGAACAGCGCTGAGACAACAGCTGTCAGTCAGTAAGTAGCAAGTGCCTACTCTGTGCTACACACTGGCTTTATTTTGATTTGAGAATCCAACTCTGCTCTCTCCTAAAAGCACAGGATAAATGCTTCACTTGCCCTGATGAATTTAACCTTTCAGAAGATGGAGAAAGTGCCAGAACTGCTGCTCTAGACCTGATTCTAGCCAAATGGTTGGGGAACTGAAAAACCCCGGGAATTTTGGCATCAAGTGACTATGTTATCTTAGTGTTTGTGAAGTCAAGGAGGGTAAGAGTCACTATATAGACTTTAGGATATTTCAGAGAAAAGTTAGGAATGATTGTGTGACCTCGCTGGCAGGACACTACCAAGAAATGCTGCTGCTGCTCCTGCTGCCGTTAGAAAGGGTCCTTATGAAGAAGCAAAGGGGGGCGCACTGAAATAGTGATATGACTGTAGAAGGAGCTCTGTGGTGAAGTCAGATTTTAAAAAAGATGTTCCAAAGTGGAAGCAGAAGGGTATGGATCCAAAGATGAATGCAAAAGACCCGGATGTGCTGAGCCCGGCAAACACAAGCCTTGGGAAGTGATGGGACTGCCTTCAGGCTGATACATCAATTTGAACAGCAAGGTGTGCTGCTCCTTAATGCCTATTCTGTTTACTATCCCTAGCAAGAAAAATGATCTTTAGGCCCTAAAGGAACTAAAACGCAAATGAAGGACACAAGGAGTATGAAGGGTTAAAGAGTATGGCAAGGCTGGCCCCCCAAGATGAACGCCACCTTCAGCTGCCATGAGAGGCTTGGTTTCCATAACAAGGGAGGTACCTGTCCCATTGCATTTGTGCTGCTCGGGCCCTGTCTCCTGCACATTTGCTCACATCTGCTACACCTTGGGAAGGACTTCAACAGACCCAAGGGTGCCCACAGCAGTGCAGTCAGCAAAGGAAGGGATGGAGGTTGGGCCACGAAGACCGTTTGCCAGGACGCGGGATGTCTGACTTGAAGATAAGGCTGCAGGGAGAGGGGCTGGGAGATGTGCTCATTTTTTTCAGTTACTTAAAGGGTTGTTCTGCTTAGCCCAGGCAGCAGAACCAGGAACAAACAGTGAAAAGCGCAGACTTTAATTATTGCTGAGAAGAACACCTTCACACCAGGGGATCAGGAGCCCTCAAGAGATGATTACAGACAGGCCTAACTCAGGTACCAGGTGGACTGGGTAGTTTCTGATGTATCAGAGTACAAACCTCATTTTACAAGTGTCTTCCAACTCTGAGATTCTGTAAAGTCTGCTGGCCTAGGCACATTGCATCACTGGGTTGTTAAATAACTCATAAATGTAATTGCTTGATTTTGACAGCTGTGGAGAACAGAGGCACCACAGGACTAGAAACAGGCAAAGACTCCCATTTTAATAAATATAATTAGATTGGGTTATATACTAATATGGGGGATCATCCATACCTGGTAAAATATGAGAAACATTAAACTAAATCAATGATGGCAAACATGTGGAAAAGAAAGACCATGAGCAAACACTGGATTCACTACAAACAAGTAACGTCAGACTGACCTTTTCTTTGCTCCTCTCACAAAACTACAAAAGGGATAGTGCAGACCTAGACTTCAACATGTCATCTGACAACATCTCCAACGAAAACCTTGTGGACAAACCTGAGATGTGAGCTGGATAGGTAGGTATGGAAATGTTTGAGTAACCATTTAGAATAGGCTAATAGTCAACCTGGAGGAAAGTCTCTGGTGGTGTGTTCCAGGGCTCTGCTCTGTTCAGTATTTTAAATCAGCAGCTTCTATATGAAGACCCTGATGGCTGGTGACACGGAAATAGGATCTGAAAAGGTTTAACAGTTGCACTATTGGGACAAATCTAAGATAAATTTAGTTAGGTTCAAATCTAATTCAATCAACCTTTATTAAGTACCTATCGTCCCCAGACATGGGCCTAGAAGCCAGAGACCACAAAAACAAAAATCACTGCCTGGAAAAAGCTGACATTCCAGCTGGCAGATACAATGTACACACAAATAAGTAAATACAAAGTAAACAAAGTAATTCTGGGACAGCTTCCACCTGGTGGCCTCAGAAAGACAATCAGGTGGCACTTGGAACTGTGAAGCCAAGTCAGTATTCTGAGCAAGAAGGTCGGGAAGACAAGATCATGTACAGGGAAAAGTGAGGAGATCCATTTGGGTGGGGCAGGGGGAGGGGGGTTGCCAGAGGGAGGAGGGAGAGAAAGAAGGGGGGAGGGGGGAGAGGGGGGAAGAAGGAGGGGGGGAGGGAGAGGGAGAGAGGGAGAGAGAGGGGGAGAGAGAGAGAGAGAGAGAGAGACAGACAGACAGACAGACAGACAGACAGACAGACAGACAGATAGACAGAGAGAATGCGAGCACAACCAAAAGATGTAGGGCTCTGAGCCTTCTCCGGGAGAAGGGGCTTGAGGAAGATCATTCTGGCAGCTGTATGAACAGTTTGGAGAGCTGGGAGATCTGAGGCTGGGAGACTGAGTAAGAAGACCTGTCTGCCCCTTATAAGTCACTGTTATGAGAAGACTTGCAAGAGCTGAGGTGGAAGCTGAGGAAGGCCTGAGGTAGTAGTGAGTTCTTTGTCATTAGACACCTCAAATGCTAGAGGGTCACTTTTCAGAAACCCCAGAGAGGAGGTGCACTGGTGAGGATTAAGTCTGGCCTATATCTCTAAGAATGTCCCTTGCAACTCTAGAAATCTGATTCTGGGGATGATGGCAAGTCTCACAGATGGAAGCTTGGCGTCCCAGAACACAGTTTTCTTTATATCCTGGGTGGGACACTGACCGTGGTGACTTAGAGCACCATCTGCCTTCCAAGGTAAGGCTTCTAGGAGGCAGATGTGTACTGAGGTGCATTCCCCACTGCCGGCCATTTGGCATGGTTTCTGAGGGAGGGGCTCTGATTCCATCAGGATGGATCACATTGATAGAGCTGGAGCTGAGAGGGGCCTCAGAGGACATCTAGGCCAAGCCCCTCATTTTACAGAGGAGGAAACTGGAGGTCCAGAGATAGTTACTGAAGTTGTATCCCAAAGACTGTCATTGTGAAATACCCTGACAGTACCATATTACTGTCCTGACAGATTCTGTATAGACTTCCTTCTTTAGGAAAGAAAACCTTTCTATACTAATAATCATGGACATTCAGAACCAGTCAGCTGTGGGTGTTACAGCAGACTGCACTTTGGAATGCAGGAGTTAAAACCAGGTGCCTTACTTGTACTGGGATCTACCCCATGGCTTATATGGCCCAATTCCACCAAGGAGGGAGCTGGTCCATGGGGAGAAGAATAATAACTTAATGGATAGCTGGGAGCACAGGAAATTTGGGCCCCCTCATCTGACCACAATTCCCTAGGGTTGGGCTACCAAACTTTTTGGAGATGCAAAGTAAGAGTATTGACAGAAGCTGCTAAGGTTAATTTTGGTCAAAAAGCCACCCTTCCAGTTGGTACCCATCTACCTTCCACGTATTCTCTTAGACTAGTGGTTGTTAACTTTTTGTGTGTCCTGCGCCCCTTTGGCAGTGTGGTGCAGTCCACACACCCCTCAGAATCATGTTTTAAATGCATAAAGTAAAATACATAGGACTGCAGCAAAGGAAACCAATTATATTGAAATGAGGAGGTTATTTTTTCCCCATCCAGGTTCACAGACCCACTGAAATCTAGGTTAAGAACCCCTGTTCTAGACCAGTAGCACTCAGGTACTACACTTGCAACTTAGTACTGATATCACCTTGTTTAGCTTGTCTAGTGGCACGGGATCCCTTCAGGAACCCAGGCCCTCTCTTGGTGGGGAAGAAGAAGGGGTAGAATTGCCAACTAAAAGAGTCTAACAATCACCTAGAAACGTCCATCCCTCCCACCCACCCCTCAACAATCATAGTTGAAACAGTTTAATGAAAAAGCAGTAAAAGAAGAAATCTTACACATTTTGGCAGACTTCGAATAGCTTGCTTTACTTGAGGCTCCATATGCTTCATTGTTTGCAAAACATATCGGCCTTAAAACAAACAAAAAAGTGAACAGAACTTTACATAAAAAGGAAGCCCAGGCCCCCCATGCTCCTTCCACTCTCTCATCCTCTACAAACCTGCAAATCCTGCAGCTGCGATTGTCAGTCCCACGGCTAACATTGTGCTGGCCTAGAGAAGGGAGAAAAGGGTTATTTCTTCCATCCTTTCCCTTCCCCTGTCACATTACTACCCACCCCACTTCTCTTCTTTACAATTTTCAGTTTACATTTCAATAGTAAAATTTATCAAAAAAAAAAAAAAAGTTAATAACACAGTCCTGGCTTTAATCTACAATGTTAGGAACATTTCTAAAACTGCTCTAATGACTCTTCCACCTCTAAATCTAGGATCTTCTCAAACTTAAAAGTTTTTTTTTTTTTTGCTTTTTTTGCTTTTAAAATGAGGGCTTAAAATAAAATATTAGTGTAGCTTAATGCTACAGGTAGAACATACCATTGGGATGGAAATTAACTGCAAAAGAACAGGGCCTGTCAACGAAGATGCTTACCAGGCAAAGAACAAATAAATCTTGCCCAGTGAGATTTAATTTTCCCTTGCCTCAGGAAAGACTACGAAGGTTGAAACAAGGGCACTGGGGAGGACAGAACCAAAAATGAAGGGAAGGGGGGGAGTTATTCACAGCAGCCTCCTCAAACCCTAGGAAAAAACATTTATCATTGGAAAACCCTATTTAACTGAAAGGGCAAAGCATGGAAGGCTTCCATCTACACAAGCCCCTCCCACTCCAATTACAGGGAGAGGACTCTGGACCTGTGATCCTTGAAAAAAAAGGACACAGGAAAAATTTAAACGTCTAAGTTAAATTTCAGAGCTGAGAGGAACCAGAAAAGGCCACCGAGTCAAGGCAGAACAAGAATTGCCTTGATCACACTCCTGAGGAGTGGTCAGCCAGCCTTGGTTCAAAGGGACCCCTCCCTCCCTTCCCACACAGCCTGTTACATATTCCCAGGGACATTTGCAACTCAATTGGTTCTTCCTTACTTTTGAGCCCTAACTGGTTACTCTGCAGCTGCTACACTCTGCACCAAGTTCTGCCCGAGTCAGCAAAGGGCCACCTGTGTGTGTGCACGCCCACGCATACAGACAATATGAATATGCATGTACACATATACTTGTGTATATTCACAAACACACACATATGCAATACATGCATACACAAATATATGTGAATGTACATACACATAATACATGTGTCTATACACACACATGCACACAAATATCTCTACCTCCCCAGACATACCTGAATGAGAAACACAGACTGAGATTCAGAACCAGAATGAATGAATGACTCAATAGACATTTATTACACCCCAGCATGCAAGCAAGGCACCTAGTCCAGGTGTCAGGGTCACAGATACGGACTCCCTGGGCAGCAGATCCAGGCCATAAGTGACGATGATCCATGCTGCATTTTTGTTTATTTTGTCAAACATTTCTCAATTACTTTGTAATCACCTCTCATCTGGTTCAGGCCCATTTCACAGATGAGGTAACCGGGAGTGGGAGGGATGGAGCTGGAGGCCCTGAGTTCAAGGACAGTATTGAACATTGTCACAGCTTTGTAAACCCCCAAATTGCAGAGGAAGACCGTAGGGCCCAGGGTCACCCTGCTAACAGGGATCTGTGGCAAGATTTGAACTCAGGCCTGTCTTGGGCCCGAATCAAGCCACTTCATTTCTGGGGGCCTCAGTTTCCTCATCTGTAAATGAGGGCGTTGGGCTAGACGGCCTTAAGGGGAACAAGCACTTTATTAAGTGCCTACTATGTGCCAGGCCCTGTGCTAAACAATGTAAAAATATCATCTCATAGAGTCCTCCCAGGCCTCAGTTTCCCCATTTGTAAAACACTGGGGTCAGGCTGGATGCTCTCTACCGGGGGTGGCTGGGGACCTGGGTTCGAATCCCGATTCTGCCCCCTCCCCCATGCCCGGGTGACCTTGGACAAGTCCCCATCCACGCGCCCCGCCCCCGCCCCTTCCCGCAGGGGACCAGTAGTCCCTCCAGGCTCGCGGCCCCACAGGGCCTGGGTTCGAATGAGACCCCGCCGCCGCTGCCTCAGTTTCCCCTCTGACCCCTAGGCCGCTCACCATGGCTCGGCCGGCGCTGTCACAAGCCTGCAAAGGCGCAGCTCATCCCAGCCCAGAGGCCGCGCGTCCGGCCCGGCCCGGCCCGGCCCGGCTCAGCTCCAGGCCCCGGCTCCGGTCCGCCGCCGCCGCCGCCGCCGCCGCCGCCGCCGCCTCAGGCCCGGCACAGCAAAGAGGAAACACACGAACTCCAAGCAACAGCGGCTGCCGCAAAGCGCCGCGGCCCGACTGTCGTGAAAGGGCGCACGAGCCCGGGAGGGCGGGGCGCGGCGTCCGCCGCGGATTGGCTGCATCCAGGGCGGCGCTCCTATTGGGCTTGGGAGAGGGATGAGCCGGGCCTCTGTCCTGCCCCGTGCCGGGCTCTGCCCTTGGGGCGGAGGGGGCGGGGTCCTTCAGAGGGGAGCTTCCGCACTAGGGAGCCAAAGCAGCCAATGTGACATGTGATGATGGACAGCCTAACGTATAATTATATTACACTACATTATATCATGCACCTATACAACATAACATGATATTAAATAGCACGCACGTATAACATGTAATACTACATTTGATATAATATATACTATATGATCTTGCAGGCAGCCAGCACACCAAACGTGTCAATAGGCATCTGGGGGCAGCTAAGTGACTCAGTTGACAGAGCACCGGCCCTGGATCAGGAGGAGCTGAGTTCAAATCCCCTCTCAGACCAGACACTTGACACTTACTAGTTGTGTGACCCTGGGCAAGTCACTTAACCCCATTGTCTAGCCCCACCCCCCAATCCTATTTGGAATTTGCTAGGAAAAGGTAGTGGAATGGTTTACCATTTCAGAAGGAGAGCATTTTACAGACCAGGGAACTGAGGCAAACAGGGTTAAGTAATTTTCCCAGAGTTATATAGCTAGTGTTTGAAGCTGGACTTGAACTCAGGTCTTCCTAATTCCAGACCCACTGCTCAGTCTGCACCTCCTAGATGCCCAATAAACCCCAAGATAAGTTTGATCCTCTGGAATCTCATTATTCTTGCATTACTCACAAACGCGTGGGAGCTGATGAGATCATCAAAAGAGAAAGTAAAATGAGAGAAGAGAAAAGATGTCCCAGGACAGAATCCTTAGGTATGCATAGGGACCAAGATGCGGGTGACAGTTCAGCAAAAGAGACGGAGAAGGAGCAGTCAAACAGGTAGGAGGAGAACCAAGAAAGAGAAGCGTCACAAAAACCTGGAGAAAAAAATGCATTCACGAGGAGAGAGTGGTCAATAATATCGAAAGCCGAAAAGGGGTCCGCCAATCAGCAAGCATTTATTAAGTGCCTGCTATGTACCAAGCACTGTGCTAGCTGCTGGGAATACGAGCGCAAATATGAAACAATCTTTGCTCTCAAAGAGTTCTCATTCTATGTGGGGAGACAAAATATACACGTAAAACTGTATACAAGATTTATGCAAAATAAATATAGGGATTTTTTTGGGGGGCAGGAGTAGGGAAGACCTAGTTGAGGGCATCAGAAAAGGCTGCATGTAGGAGGTGGCATTTGAGTTAGGTTTTGAAGGAAACTAGGGATTTGAAAAAGTGGAAAAGCATTCTAGGCACAAGTTGGGGGGTACCCAATGCAAAGGGACAGAGTGGGGGAAAATAAAGACTGAGAAAAGGCCGTCAGATTTAGCAATGGAGTGATGGTTGGTAACCTTGTAGAAGATAGTTTTAGATAAGTAGTGGGCTCAGAATCTGGATTGTAAAGTGTTGAGAAGTCAGTGTGAGGTCAGGACAGAATGGCAGTGAGTGTAGATTAGGAGTCTTCCTATTAAGGGTAGATGAAATCTCATATCACAGCTGGTTGCTGGCCAGCAACAGGGGAGTACTTTCAGGGATTATCTGGGTAGCTAGCGCATGCACTGAAAGGACATCAGGATTTCTAGCTTCAGGAGCCTGAGGGCTCCACCGTGTCTCGCCCATGCACCTGTTTATCCCTAAATACACAGCACCTTAAAGAGACACTCTGTTAATATGCTAATAACTAGAATCACAGGAGGTGCCTGCTCAACTGAGCAGCAGAACGGGACAAGTGAGTACTGTATATACTGTAGACCCAGCTACTGTTACTTTATCCTCCTTCTCTCCTTCAAAATTCCTACTCCAGCACCTTGACTCATTTCCACAAGTAAATGCTAATCCAGGCTGTGAAGTCATTGAAGCCAGCTGGGGAGTGTCCCAGTACTTAATGGAAACAGTATCCCTCAGTTTCCAGGACTGAATCCCAGCAGGCTCATTCCCTGTATGAGGAAGCATTGCTCAAGATTAAATGAAGACCTTAAGGGGCATAGGTGTTATTTTCATCACTGCGGCTCAGCTTCTCAAAGGCAAGGAGTTCCGAAGAGAAAAATAGACTTTGGAAGTGAACATCTGGTTAAGAAGATGGCATCTAAGCAGGGGATTTAGATTTCTGGACCACAACTTAAAATATAAGAATGGCAGGCACCTGACCAGGTATGGCATATACTAATGATCACTAGTAAGAAAATATTTACCTGAAGTCTTGCAAACCTAATCAAAAGGGCTTTAAATTAGAAAGGAAAAAGGAGGAGAAAAAACCTACTTATTTATGTTGTTATCCAGTCGTGTCCAACTCTTTTTAATCCCATGGACCATAATGTCCATGGAGTTTTCTTAGCAAAGATACCAGAGTGTTTTGTTATTTCGTTTTCTGGTGGATTAAGACAAACAGAGGTTAAGTGACTTGCCCAGAGTCGTACAGACAAATCTGAGGCTGGATTTTGAAGGTCTTCTTGACTCCAGGCCCAGTGCTTTATCCACTGAGCCAGGGCATTGGGGCTAAACCTTGATTGATGCATTATATATTATATATACTTCATGATGTGTGTGTGTGTGTGTGTGTGTGTGTGTGTGTGTGTGTGTGTGTGT